TTTTTTTTTTTTTTTTTTGAAGGGTCGTTTTATGTGAGTCTGGAAGAGATGAAGCTGTTTGGAAATTTCCACTGTAGAGCGACAAGTAGCTGAGGGTATTTCTGAAGCAATGGAAGATGGATGACTTCCAGCATGGCCGAGGTGTTTTCACTCTTTCTGTCGTCTCCCTCTTCGGGCCACTCCTCTGCCAGGAAGGCTCGCAAAGGGCCCAATTGTCCATTCAACCGGGGCGATGGCAAGCTAAAAATACTCCTCTTCATGCACTGTGGAACACCCTGCCTCTATTTACCTGTCTCCTAACCCCTCCTGACCTGTTTACAAGACTCTCCCAGTGAAAGTAGAAAACACACCTTGCTGAAAATAACACTTGTGTAATAATTAGACGCAGACATGCTTGGCCAGGGTCCAGCAAACAAAAACACTCTAAAAATACCTGCATTTGGCTGGAAATTGGTTTAATCTCCCTGGCCTCCCTCGCCATCTCCTGCTGCTTCCACCTGGCTCTCGCACAGTCCCGGCGTGAGAAGGTTGTTATTTTACAGTTTTCCCCTCGGGGATGCCTCCATACTGTGGCACAGGTACACTCAAATATTGGATTAACCTCAAGTATGAAGCAAATGTGCACGTAGGAATGTCTGCAAAGTAGTGCGGTATAGCATAGAGCTTGTACTGTATATGTTCATACTGAAGCGGGGTGAGAATCTGGATGAACAGATGGACAGACTGCTGTGTTTAGGGTCAAAGGTTACTGTGAAGCAGTCGGACATGTAAAATGGAGGCTGGATATTTAGGAAGGCTTCAGTTTCAGTGTGTTATGGAAGTAAAAATGTTTCCTAGAGCTCAGCGGTGACGTCTCAAAATGTTGTTTCTTGTTTGATAACTCAGAAGATATTTAATTTACCATCATAAAACAGAGAAAAGCAGTGAATTCTCACATTTCAGGAGCTGAAACCAGCAATTTCTTGGAATTTCTGCTTGAAAAATTAAATTATCAGACAACTTATCGATTCACTGACTAATCGTTTCAGCTCTAATCTTAATTGTATTGAAATCTAGGAGACAGATATCTCAAAACCCAAACAAATTGAACTGAAAATATCTTCATGAAAGGTTACTTTTGGTAATCGGACCCTTTAAAAAATACCTTTTCTCTTAACTTTGTGTATTAAAGTTGCACGGCCATTAAGAGATTAGAGATTCGACATCTAGATACATGTGCACAGTCACAGCAGCAGCCTACACTCACGTAGGGTGATACAGTCGACTATATCTATTAAACACTCTAATTATTAGTTAATCAAGAATGACATGATAATATAAGACAAACTGTTTTTATTTATATAGATAAATGAGAAGAAAACACATATATCTAATAATAATAATTAATATCTTTTCTGCAGTCACAGAAAGATCCTGCTTGTTTCAGCACATGTGCATCCTCTGGTTCACGTCTGCACTCAAAAGACTGCAGAGAATGCAGCATGAGGTTTGCATTATGTGACAGATGGGGGGGATGAGGCAGGAACGCACAAACCAACCACTGCATACTGTAGATTCAGTCACAAAATTCATGTAAATGTGTGGTTGGTTATGTAATGTGATGTATATTCTGCCGACGGGTGGGTGTGGACCGTTGGCAAGCCCATGCGTGTAAATATGCTGATGAAATATAGTCGGGACAAGCTTGCCAAACCAAAACAAATAAAGAAATATTAAAACAGACGTGCAGTATAGAGCCCTTTTTCATGGGATACTTGTTATTCTGCCACTAATTTCTAAAATTTTAAACAATTTTATTTAATACGGAGGATTTATGTCAATTGCAACTTAAGATTTTTAAAAACACTCATGAGCTCTCTGTCATGTCCCCTTCTTTATTTATTTTGTTATTTACTTTTTATTAAGCTTTCTTTTAAGGAACACAGATAAACAAAAGTGAGACATTATGCGCCAACTGGACAAAAAAAAACACCTTTTATAGAAAGAAGAAGTAAATTGAATAAATAAATAAACAAGGAGAGTGTCTCTAAAAAAACAACAAAATCTACATTTATACATAAATGTTAATGCATTTTAAACAATTTTCATACCTTTTCTTTCTATCTCTTCATAATATTTAATGTGATGTGATTATTTTGTCCTTTATGGAGGTTAAACTAATAGATCCCTTAAATTTTAAGCCAAAAACATTGTTTTTTTTTTTGTTTTTTTAAGTGCTTTAAATGTGCACGTTAGGCATTAGATATTAAAATCATGCTAAGTCTTTCTAGTAAATACCAGTAAAACCATAGACTGACCTTCTCCAGACCCATGCTGTCCAGGTTTAGTTTCTCCATGTAGCGGCCAAAGCTCTGGAAGGCGTTGTCTGGGATGGTCCTCATGGGGTTCTTCCCCAGCGTGAGTTCCTCCACCACTCGCAGTTTGCTCATTGCCACGCTGGGGTAGGTGGACATCTTGTTACTGTCCAGGTGAAGTATAGCGAGGTTCTCCACATCGTCCAGAGAGCCCGGCTGCATGGTCGTCAGCTCGTTCCCGCTCATGTGCAGCCAGCGCAAGTCTTTAGCGCCCGCGAAGGTCCCTGGCCGCAGCTCCCGGAGCTTGTTGTCATTGAGCTGCAGGATGAAGAGGTTGATCATGGGGGAGAAGATGCCCTTGGCCAGGTCGCTGATCTGGTTCCCGTCTAAGTAGAGGTAGGTGAGCTCGGTGAGGTCCTCGAAGGCGCCGGGCTTGATGCTGTTGATCTCGTTGTTGGACAGGTAGAGGTAGATGAGCTTCTTCAGCCCCTTGAAGGCCTGGGATCCGATCTCTCGGAGCTGACAGTGCTGCATGTGCAGAGAGATGAGTCCCTTGCTCTCGCTGAAGGCCCCCGTGGGTATGCTGCCCAGGTTGTTCCTCTGCAGGTTCAGCAAACGGGTGACCTCCGACACCCGGGGGATCTTCTTCAGCCCGACGCTGTCACAGATGACGTGCTGGAGGTCACCGTGGCAGTGGCACAGCGAGGGGCACTGGCTCGGGGCTCCCTGCACCGCAGGGCCCAGGACCAGGAGGCAGGTCCCCAGCAACAACCAGCTCACACAACGCATGCTGACCAGCCAATGTCAATTTCTTGGCGTCTTTCAGTCTTTTAGCAGAACAGGAACAAGCAGAAAAACCAACAGACGAGAAGTCTGAAGAAGAAAAAGCGAAAGGTTGAACTGAATGTTTGTGTTGAGAGAAACAGACGCAGAGCGAAGGAGTGAAAAGGTGAGTGACTGAGCAAAGGTGGGCAGAGGCATTCACTTTGAGAGGAGGATGGCCAGTCAACAGAACACACGGCACTATTTATAACATTTACTTGAGGAAAAAAAAAAAGAAAAAACGAGGAGGGCTTGCCAGGGTGTTAGAGTGAGAGGTTTGCAAGAGGAAGTCAAGTGTCTGTGAGAATTTAACCCTAAATGAGCAGGAAGACGAGCTTGCGGGGACCGACTCTGTCTCTTTTGCTACTGGCAGCAACATGAAATCGCTGCTGGATGCACATGTGCAGACAAATCAAAAGACACATGCACATGTAACAGGTGAATGTTTTAACAACGTGGCATGAGGTCAGGTTCGATCAGCGCACGCTTCCAGACACCTCTATTGTTTTTCAGTCTGCGGTGGCAGGAAAGGGAGCCACTCCTGTGCAGCTGTTTTATAACCTATAATAGTCTCCAGATGGCTGGCAAGACGCGAGATGCTGTTTCAATCCATAACAATTGCAAAAGATACTTTACAAAGGAAGGTTTTTGGATACCGCTTTACATTCCTGTGTGCATTCTTTCTTTAGAAATGGAGGGTGGTATTATGTAATGGCCTTTTCCAGTGAAAACCTGTGAGTTGTTAAAGTGATTGTGGCTGATCGGGTTTCAACTTTAAGGCTTAAGTGAGAATAAAGTCTGTCGCTGTGAGGATAAAACTTTATTTAAGGTGTTCATTGCACCTGCTTTTAGCAATAAAAGGGGGAAGGTTTAGAAAAAAAGAGCAGCAGGACTTTGTTGACTGGCTCAGGTCAGTGGATGGTTTGGCTTCAGGTGGTTGCGTTTATAAGATGGATGGACCCACCCAGGATAACTGGAATCTAGAGTTTACTTAACAAATCTGACATTTTATTGGGAATATCATCTCCTCCCTGATTTTCCAGGTGAAGTTCTCACTCTGAAAAGCCCTGCAGGTCCCATTGGTCCAACAGGCTCACTCCCTCTTATTGAATATGCACCTGTGAGCTCTACAGTATATTTTACCCTTCCGTCTCTTTTTAAATTAAGTGTCTCCAGCTATCAGGTAAATGGAATGAAGGGAAAAGCTGAAACACTGAAGTACAAACTTTGGGTTTTTCAATAACCAATTATTGGTTGAGTAATTTTTCCAGCACAGCATGTCAAATATTTGGTGGTTACAGCTCAATAATATGAGGATTTGCAGCTGTTTTATATCACTGCAAATTGAATTAATTTGGGTTCAAGACCGTTTATCAGACAAAACAAGACATCTATCACCTATTTTCTGACATTTCAAAGATCAAAATAAAATATTCAAAGAATATTATAATTTCTCAATCTGCTTGTTGTTTATTTTTAACTGTCTGGATTACATTTATTAATGTATTTAATTAATATTTATTTACTGATTATTATTATTAGTAGTAGTATTAGTATTATTATTAGTATTGATATTTTATTATTATTATTGTATTAATCTTTTTAATGTATTATTATTATTATTAATTATAAATTGTATAATCTTTTTTCTTTTTTCTTTCCATTTATTGTAATTCATTATTTGTTTTAACTCAGCATAACATAACAAGCATTTTTCTCTGTTTCTCGACATCATTGTAAATGAGGGAAACCTTCTCAAGACTTAAAGGATTGATTGATTGATTGATTGATTGATTGATTGATTGATTGATTGATTGATTGATTGATTGATTAGAACCATTGTAATCAAGGATGCGTCACCAACAGAGGGCGATGCACAATGTAAAGCGACCTGTAGAATATGACATGCCCACTTTGGTTCCCAAATCTGTTGCTGTTTGGTTCCAGTTGGGAACTAATTGAGGTGTGGGAACCAGAATGGAACCGGTTTCCTGTTGGTGGAAAAGACCAACTTGTCAGCTGGGATCGACTTTAGCTCCCCACAACCCTCCGAAGGATCAGTGGCTGTAGATAATGGATAGTGGATCTTGGTATCAATGATCAGGAGCCACACATCGAGCTCCCAGACAAATAACCCCGTCCATCAGGGAACTAGTTAGAGGTCCTAAATCCTTCTCTCTGCTCATACTCTGCTGTTTGTGTGTTTGACAGATTGGATACGGTACCACGGAGAACAGCCCTGTGACGTTCTGTGCCGACCCGCTGGACAACATGGACAGGAAGTCCGAGACCGTCGGCTTCATCATGGACCACTTAGAGGTATTACCTCAATGTGATGTGGAAGCAGAAATATGATTGAATTTAATACGATTTAAGTAAGAATATTTCTCCACTTTATACACTCAGTGGCCACTTTGTTAGGTACGCCTGCTTTAGTCAATATTCTGTACAAACACTGTACAGCTCTTTATTTTAGAACATATGTTTTATACTTACATTTGGAGAGTTCACTTACAGATTCATACAGTTTATAGAGTATTTGTAACATTTCAACTGTTTAGTCAGGACTACTTTGGTCAAAAAGAAAACTTATGTTATAAGTATGTTATATTCGGTGTTATTAGTTCTGTTCTGGGACCTTCCTGCCCTTCTAAGTGCAGACGTGGAAAGCTCAATGCAAGGAGAGCAGCAGTAAAGGTACAGAAGAGAGCAGGCATCCATAACAACAGAATTAACATTGATTAAATTAGAAACGGCATAAAAGGAGGAGCCGGGGTGGAGGCAGGTTGCAGAGGATTGTACATGTTTACAATCAGCTGATGTGGCTGGAACAGCATTTTTTATCAAAACAACAAAAAACTAAACAGCTGCTTCATTTCCAACACTGGGACAAGAAGATTTTTTCTTAAACTCAGAAGTTATGCGAGTGGTCTTACTCTTAAAATAATGAAAATAATCTTGTTCCTCTGCTGGGATATTATGCAAACCATTGTTGTTACTGGTTAAATTGAGCTCAATATTAGCTGTAATATCTTATTGAGACTGTAAGTGAGATATATTTTCTTAAAACCAGAT